CAGTGCTTGTTTCAGCCGGCATTTGAGGGGGAAGGACAGGGTGGGCATTATGACAGGTGCAAGAGAGGTTCATAGGTCCACTTTGGCAAGACAATATGGTACACACAGTTTCATATTTGTCGAATGTAGGATCAATTTATTGCTGTAGTGTGAGATTCTACTGAGAGTGGTTAAGTGCTACAGGCTTGAGGTGTATAGACTGTGTGAGAAACCACGGAGACAGTGAATGGAAAGCAACTGACAACTACTGACTTCTACTATTTTTTCGGCAGCACGAAAAAATAGACAAAATATTTCTAAAAAATATATTCCAGAATGAAACTTCAACTCACTGCAGGTCCTATCATCTCCTTTGGCGACCCGTAAAAAGGGAAGGGGGAGAAGGACAGATTACTCCCATGAATGTGACAACTGTTACCATAAAAATCAAATACAAGTCTGAAATGACATGTGGCATACTGTAAGTTATTTCATAAATAAATAGTTTGCATCTCATTGCCCTCACAATTTCTGTCTGCTATTGATGATTTTATCGGTAACAGTTGTCACATTCATGGGAGTAATCTGTCTTTCTCCCCCTCTTTTTTAAGGGTCCCAAAGGAGATGAAGGAAACTGCAGTGAGTTGAAGCTTTTTCATTCTGGAATATATTTTTATGAAAATATTGCTATTTTGTGCTGCCCGAAAAAATAGAGAAGTCAGAGTTGTCAGTTGCTTTTCCATCACTGTTCCGTGGTTCTCTCCAACACAGTCAATACACCCTCAAGCCTGAGCACTTAACCACTCTCAGTAGAACTCCAGCACACAGCAAAAAATGATCACATCTCCAGCAAATATGAAAACTGTCTGTACCATATTGTCTTGCCAGTGGGAACCTTCATGAACCCTCCTTGCAATTCAAATGCCCACCCTCCCTCCCCCCAAACTGACGGCTGAAAAACAATCCACACAGACGTGGAAACAATTTGACGCATCGACTCGAATTCTTTATTCTCACAGGGCCAATTGCATTTTTTATTGTGTTTGTTGCACAGTGATTTTTCACCAGGATGTTAATTTGACATTTTAATAATAAACATTGTGTGAGTGGCCTCCAGTGCTGTGGTGGAATTGCCCCAATCCCGTCTCACAGCTGATCCTCTGGCTGGCCCACTCTCCCCTTAGCCATACTCGCTTATTCATGACAATCTACATGTGTGACAATTACCTGCACAATCCGTCTATGTCAGCACCAGTTGCCCCTCTATTCAGTGTAATGGCATTTCTCCATGGCAGCTTGAGCAAGATGTGGTAGATAGAGGCCATCATTTGCTCGAGCACAGGAATGGGTCTCTATTTATAGTGCAGAAAGCGACTAAGATTGTGACTGTCAAATGGGGCTCTTTTTCTATCCCATCTATAGTCTACAACGGTGTGACGGCATCTGTCATAGATCATGTAATATAATACACTCAGGTCGAAGTATTGTCCTCTTAGGATTATCCTCATATTGACACATGAAGGGTTGTATTAACTGGCCGAGAATATCAAGAGGAGCGAGGACGATGTGTTAAATCTTGGCTCCTGCAGAATTTCATTTACTTGCCTTCATGTAGCTTTGATCCATATTTGCTTGTTTATTGCCTAATGTTTACTTACAGTCTCATAATAATGTCCTTTGCAAGCTCACCCTCCAAAAATAGCATCATTCCTTGTGCGAAAATAGGAAAGTAACAACCCCAGTTTTTATCAGTAGTGACTTTTTTTTTTTTTGAGCAAGTGTTGTGTGCTTCTCTCTCAGGGGAGCAAGGGGGCCATGGTTTACCCGGGCTGGAAGGGCTACCTGGTGCCAAGGTAAGTGACAGTATCGGCACAGAGAGGTTTCTCATCTGCCATCACCTAACCTGATTAGAAAGTGAAGGAAAGTGTTTTCTCTCTACTTCATTCTCATTACAGAACATATTATGTGTAATTTTCTGAAATGAGACATCCAGCTGAAAATAACTCTAAAATAAAGGCTTGCCAGTGTGAAAGTGAAACACATTATGGGTTCCTGTTGAAGTCATGAGTCACCTTAAGGGAAAATAATTATGTTAAAAAGAATTCAATCACTTCTTTTTTGAAACACTGACTGAACTAATTTCAGGTGGAAATTTTTGAAACTGAAATGCAGTATACCACGGCAGTTTGAAGCTAAAGTGTTTATGTAATAGTTAACCATCCGCACAATGAACTGCTACTATTGGACGCATTTATGTTAATGATACAAAACTAGCCCTGCATGCAACTTCTCACAGCGTCCTGTACCTAAATCTGTATGAAACAGCTGATGTGTGTGTGTCTGTTATACGATCAAAGGTGTGACATATACAAAGGTTATTTAGTTTAATTTAGTGTAGCTTAACTTTGTAAGGAGGTTGTTATCTACATTTCAGATTTTTCTGAGTAAACAGCGTATAGTGTTTTGAAAGTGTTTTAGCTTTTTTATCATTGCATTTGTTAGAAACACTGAGTGCCCAGGAGCATTCATTATACCCAGGTTTAGGCAGTTTCTGATATCACTATAAATGTGTCCGCTTCACATGACAGTGATTTATGTGTATTCTTCATGTGTATGCCTTCTAACTGACACATCTTGTTGGGTTTCTTTCAGGGCGATATTGGTTTTCCTGGTCCATCCGGGATAGCAGGTCCTCAAGTAAGTGAGTTTAGTTTTTTTTTTTTTTTTTTGGGGGGCGGGGGGGGGGGGGGTTCTTGATTAATTTACCTTGACTCATGCTCCTCCTTGATCAGTTGATCAGTCTGTGTTGTTTAAGTCTGCTGCTGGCAACAAGTCGATGATGTTTCAGAAGCACTCAGAATAGCAGCTATCAAAACAAAAGTGCCATAACACCACACTACTTCCTTTAAGAGCTCGGATATAGACCTGTGGTATGTACAGTGGATTTTCTGTGGAGCTATAGTAGCAGCTGGTGCTATAAAATAAATGGGAGGTTGCAGAGGTGCAGTAGATATGACACCATTGAGGACCTGTCAAACACGGTCTGTTCTCTTCCTGTGTTTGTGATTGACAGGGGACGAAGCCCGGCACTCGTGGAGAGCCAGGGATCCCAGAGAGAGCCGGTGAGATGCAGCATCTAACTCTCTTTGAGCTGTCAATCCACGCGTCATTCCTTTGTCACTGCCGACTGACACATCGGCTGTCTCTGTTCTCTGACAGGGTGAGAGGGGGCCGCTTGGAGAAGACAGGATTCCCAGGCCCGAGGGACCCCAAGTGTTGCTGTAAGGATGCTACATGAAATCTGTTTGCTCTTCGCTTTATAATCACAAGTAGATGATGCCAAAGAACATTCCAGTAATGTCCAGGTTGGAAATATGGCTTCGAATAACACACTGTTCCTTCACTGTATATCAGCAGGTTGTTTTACCATTACACGGGAAAAAAGAACATGATTCAAGGACAATATGGATAAAATATATTAATATATATATATATTTATTATAGATGATTACATTCTTCTATGTAATTTACCATCAGAGATGGTTTCGTAATTTTCCCTGTAAGCGGCACAATGGAACAGTGTTCGCACAGCAATCAGGATCATTATCCCTTGGTTGAGTGAGATATCTCATTAACTGTGGAGATTACTAGGAGTGCAACAGTGCTGATCCAATCGAAGGTGGGAGCTGATACAAAATGTCTTTGTTTGTGTTGCGCTCCTTGAGCAGGGCAGACCTGGAAAAGACGGAACTCCGGATACAAGGTGAGTTGTGCGAACACGCTGCAAATCCCCTATTATAGAAAGTGCTTTTACATCAGCCGAGCTACAGAAAAAGATGGCACAGCAGATTTTTATTCTCACCACCCCACCCCCCACCCCACCCCCCACCCCCCCCCCCCCCCCCCCCCCCGCCCCCCCCCCGCCAAAAGCTACAGCATCCTGAGTGCATTAAACCTATTTGCATATTTGAGATTTTAACGATAAAAACTAAATGGAATCCTGCAGATTTAAGGCTTTGTTGACTTTTAGTCTTTTTACCCTAATTATACAGTTAATGCTTTCAGGCAATGATAAAATGTTTGTAATAGAGGGCAGTAGACACTTAGATTAAATGTGCATTTTCCTGCCTGATGAACCTGGCTAAAATTGAAACAAATACTGCAGCAAAGTCTGTTTTTAGGTGACTGATCTAATTTATTATACGCTATTTACTACATAATCACACAGAATGGGCTCACAGCATGAAGAACAGATCTGCCATGAATAGCCATTCTCAGCACATTATACAATCTAATACCCAAAATGGATTGACTATGAATATTTCTGTTTTGCTCCTTGATTTACAAGATTTTTTCACCTTACACCTTAATGACAGCCCCAAGAGTTTATTGTTTTCTCATTATTATTGGTTAATATTCTTCCATCAAAATCTCACTATTGCACAGAGCCTTTTCTACAGTTTCATTCTCATGTCTTTCTGCCATGGTGCTTGACTTTGTGGTGGGACAACAGTGCCATCTAGCAGGTGGCTTTGCTCCTATACCCAGATTCCTTGCACACTGCTTTGAGGTTTAATGTAATGCTCAGGGAAGCATATTTCAGTGGGCAAGATGATAGATTTAAGCCTCCCATCAGGCACTGGGGAATACAGAGTACTGCAGATTAAAGCAGGCAGGGGAGAACAGCATCACAAAGAGATGCCCGCTTTAAAACCACATCATGCCAGATTGTCTTTTGCATGGCTCCTGTAATCCAGCAGGAAATTGATACAAAGATGCTCCCAGAGGTATTGCTGTGTGCGCAGTAAAGGGAAGCAATGAGTAGTGACAGGGAGGGATTGGAAGACACAAGATGTTGTGACATGAAGCCCGAGACAGGTATTTTCTCTCCCTGCGCCTCCATACAGTAGAGACAGCTGGTGGGAAAGCAGGCATTTCTAAAACAAAACAGGAGTGATACAGAGGAGCCGTGACATTGCAGAAGGTGAAACCCTATACAGGGAGATATTATACAAGCAATACACCTGAGCTGAGTAAGAAGCAATCAATGCACAGTCATCTGAAAAAAAGTACATCTCTCAAAGTCAGGTAATTCAAGAAAAGCTCGCTCAGTTTTTTTTTTTTCTCAGACAACAAAACAGAAAGTTCTGCAAATATTAGAGTAAATATGAGCAACATGCTAATATGGTGGTTTTAAATAATACTAATCTCAGCTTCACGTCTACAGATTAGAATAATGGAGTTTTTTGTGTGCCCCTGCATGTTACTGAACATCAATACTCAGAGTGGATGAAAAGCTTCAGGGGTGGCATCATTTCTTTTTCCAATTATTCGCATTCCAGTTTACGTTTTTGTCTACAACAAGGCCTTAAAATACATTTTTCTGCTTTTACTTCTAAGGGAGCTACAGGTAGAGCAGGGGACAGAGGATCCAAAGGAGAACGTGTAAGTAGTATCATTCCTGTTTTCCTAAAAAGAAGCTGTTTTTATGGCACAGACTATAATGCACAAAAAAAAAGGTTTTGATGAATAGTAATGAAAGTCTTCACTTCAGCACAAATATGACTAATCCCCACAAGCACATAAGCACTGGATAAAGGCATTTAACGCTCAGTACAGTTTCCTGTTGTATTTGCAAGGCAAAATTAAAGAGCTCTGTCACACTTCTGCAGTAATCTATTGCAAATGCTGGTAATGGAGGATGCAGAATGAGGCTTTTAGCTTTATATTTGGCAACAGAACTCCAGGACAGGTGACTGACTGGACACATTAAGAGAAATGGGTCGCTGTGTACTGCATGTTAAGTGATACAGTTGGGTATGAGTAAGAGCTAAAAATTATGATGACTGTGCTGTAGCTTTTGCCAGTCAGTGATTTTATTTATCTTGATCTGTATGATGCAAAATGTCTTGTAGTATTATATAGAGCTAAGTCTGTGCTGCTGTAACACAGGGTGATGCAGGGATTCCCGGAGAAAGAGGTGTTCAAGGTGAGAGGGGTCGCCCAGGTGATCCTGGCCCCGTTGGACCGATCGGACCACAAGGCCAAAAAGGTGATCCTGGCCCTCCAGGACAGCTGGACAGTGTAAATCTCCGGGTAAGTTGTAAAGTAGCAAATTTCTCAGAGCAAACAAAGACTGTACTCGCAGATGATTAAAGCCTTAATCAGCCTACCCCCTGCATGAGCTTGTGTAACTAGTTCAGTTCCCTGTGTGGAAAATGGTGCAGCCACAGATTTCTGCATGAAACATCAAACAAGGCTGTGCAAGGGAGGTTGCTGTTCTCTTTCTGCTCAACACTTCCCACTCCTGATCATCTAGGCGCAACAGAAGGTCAGAGAGGGAGAGAGATGGAGACAGAGAGAAAGACAGAGATATGTGGGCGTGCCTAGAGATCTGCAGAGCAGTGAAAACACCTCCGTGTGTCACAGACATTTTACACATACTGTACGCAGTCACAACAGTTATATAACATTCACAGCAGAGATGAAAAACTGTTTTGAATGCAAAGATTCAAGGTCCAAGGCTGTAGTTGTTTGCCATTGCTACTGATGCAGCCCTGGAAAGATCTAACAGTGCAGTTGAGAAGGGTTCACATGACTGACATAAAGTATGCTTTCTTTTTTAAACCATGTTATTCTGGGTTTCTTAAATCCTTTGAGTGCGAGAGCATATATGTTATATACTGGCTTTGATGTTACATACATTTAGAGCCAGAAAGAACCATGACAAGCTATACTTTTCCTGTTAAGTGCACATCTGGACATAAAGACACTTAGAAATCTCTTTATAGATGTATAATACCAAATTTAATATTCTCTGAATGAATCCATTTTATTTCCAGCTGGGTTTAAGGTACAGATGTTACATTATAATGCAAGCTGAGTTTTCACTGAATAGTTCAGAGTTAAGAATAGTTAAGAGCTGAAGAAAGCAGAATTTTAGCAGTAATCAGTCCATCAGCATGATTTCCATGACCTTTATAGATGAAATTTGTGATACAGATCTATGATAAATTAAAGGAAAAATCACCATGATGTGTCTTAGTCAGGTGCTTTGATGGTGGTGGTGATTCACATCATCTTCATACTCATCAAACCATTCAGTGCCCCCTCGTGTCCTATGGATGGAGACATTGTGATCCTGCTTCTACTAATTTTTCCTGTAATTTATCACTCGTCTGTATATGACAGGTATCTTCTTGATTTTCATGCCATGATAACTATTGTCTGTATTGTATCTCCTCAGCTGCCAGTTCACTATATGAATGAAAGTTTAGTTACTGTTTCCGTCTCCTAAATGTCTTTCTTTTTTTTTTTTGTGTAGCGATTCTTCAGTGAATTTCATGTTATTCTCTCTACGCACAGGGTGATCCCGGCTTCATGGAGGAACTCAAAACGTTTATTCGAAATGAAGTATTGAGGGTCCTTGAAGGTACCATTCTGTCCATCTATATTCTGCGTTTTCTCCCTTGTGTCATCTCTAAGCATTTTTCATTTGAATTTTTTATTTTTCTTACCTTGCAGAGAAGCTGTCGAGCGCTGCCATGCTTCAGAAGACACCTGCAGGCATCTTAGCTTCACAGGTCCAAGGGCCTCCAGGACCTCCTGGCAAGGACGGATTGCCAGGCCCGCCAGGAGAGCCTGGACCTCCTGGTCTTCAAGGTAGGAGCTAAAGTTGGAAGGCAGAACATCTGGACCGTAACATAACCTCAGGAAAATAACCACTTCTGTTACAATATGTATAAGAAATAACATTCTTTATTTATGAAAACTGTTTTTGAAACTTGATTAACCATTTGTTGCCTGATGTAATTGAATGTTTATGTAGCCACGACATATGTGTACGGCTCCTTGGTGCTTTAAATATACCAATTAGTCCAACCAGCATATGCTGTATCACACATGTAACCTTTTTTTTTTTTTTTTAAGGAGGCAGCATTTACTATTATAAAACCAGGGCTGCAGGTTGGCATGAACTCAGTTTAAGATGTTTTTCTGCATGCAAAGAGTTGACATTGGTAACTGGCTGGGTTGGGGTGAGGGCACCAATGTAGGCTAACGCTTGCATTTTGTAGGGATTCATGGGTATTTTTCTCTTGCTTACACCCACATATCAATGCAGACTGAGGGGCGGGAAGCAGAGGAAAGGCCAGGAGTGTGGTGCACAGCGGCTCTCTGGGAAATATGAAGACAAACGAAGAATTGGCTCTGAATAAGAGAAAGTATTATCAGTGCGGACAGGAAAGAGCCACAGTATTGATACCTCACTCCAGGAAAGAAAGCTCCTAAAATATAAAAGGAGCATAGTCAGGAAAGCGGGTGAACATTCTTTATCAAACTGACACAACTTCCTGACTGCTCATGCAGCATTGATGGTTTGCTGGTCAGGCATTATACCTCAAACTTGCCTAGAATTTCTATTGTGTCCGCAGCAGAACTACGGTATCTTAACTTTGGAAAGGGAGGAGTGTGTTACGTGTTGGTGCAGATCAAGACACTGCATCGGCCTTTCTCTTTAAGCTTTGTATCTACCTCACATTATTCAAGACCATTTACACGTTAACCCACTGCTATAATATAAAATGCTTCTTTCATTCATGAATAATATAGTAAAAGTAGTATTTGTGCTGTGTTAATGCCACTCGCATTACACGTCTTGGATTTTGTTCTGCTTGTTTAATTTTTTTATGCTTCAAACAAGTGTTTTATAGGTGATTCTTAATGCAGCTTTGCAATAAATATTTATTGAAAATAAAGAGGAAAGTTATTTCCCTTGATAAATCAAAAATTCAACAACTTCTTAATTTTTTCTTTGTTGACTTGTGCCTCCACTCAGCTGGGGAGAGAGTTTGAGGTAATATTTCCTCATTATTTCTCGTCATCCTCCGCTGGAGACTGTGCTCCTCTGGAATATCCAATTTGACTTCTTCTCCAATATGCCAAAATGAATTGTTTATGGAGAAAAATAACCCCTCTGTTGGATTCACAGTCTTTTTTTCCTCATGGTTTGATTTCACAATGGTGAAAGTCTCAAGCTGTTAGAGAATACCCATAAGGATGCATGCTGAAGAGCATCATTTCTTTTTTGTTATTTTTCCCCTCTTTTGTTGTAATTGTTTGGTCATTCTATTCATCTTTTACTTCTGAGATCATAATGGAAATACTCACTGATGTAAGTCATTGTGTGTTAAGTGCGTATTTCATAAATTCAAATTTTGTTGTTTTAACATTCATTTTTTATTTTGTATTTCAGTGCATTCTGTATATTTATTGATACTGACTTAAACAAAGTGTCTTTTATTATATCAGGATATAAACTCTGTGTTTCAGAGCTGCTCTGCTTTGTGCTGTACAATATGAATATGTCAGTAAATATCTAACAGTAATTGGTCTGTGATGGAGCAGCTGCTCAAAGAAAGGTGTTTTTTTTGTAAGGCAAAGTATGAATAAATAGATATTGCTGTTCATACTGTATACAGCAGTGTACAACAGGTGCAAAACTGCAATCCTGTCAATCAAGTCTGAAAAACCACTCTGTGGCAATATTATTTTTTACTAATGTGTTTTGTCCATTAGTGCCCCTCAAAACAGTTTGTTTTAAACCATGTACCGACACAGTATGCCATTTTCAATTTATCAGTGTGCACCAGTCCAGCATGCCACCCAAGCTTATTGCCCTGTGTGCTATTCAGTTTTTTTTTTTTTGCTTAAGGTACAGTTCTCTTTTCTCCATGGTACGTCTCCTCCCTGAATGAATGCCCCAGGCTCTGTGAGTGTTGAAAGAAGTCTCATTATTGCGACAATGTGTGGATAGCCCCTCTCTCTTTGAGACTCAGTTTTGAGGCGTTCATAAGCCTTTTTTCTGAGATTTTCTCTGACATGTAAGCATTGAAGCATTTCCCCTTTGGGGCAGGCGGTGCAAAGCTTGATACTCCTTTCAATGTTTCTGATGCACTCCATGCAACTGCTGGTCCTGAGACTCCATTACTTTAAGTGCCTCATGGGGAAATATTTTCACAGCCCCACACATTCTTACTTGGTATGCTGCTGTTTTTGAAATGTAAAGACTTACCAGCTTTGCATGGAGTGAGAAAGCTTGCTGGCCTGACTTGAAGATTATTGCACATTTTTTACCACCTTTTTTGACAAACTAAGCATGTGCGTGTGTTCGCCACTGCTTCTTTTTTCATCTTAGATGTAATCTAGTTTTCTCTCTGCAGCCAAATAGAAAAAGGCTGAGCTTCTCTGCACTAGCATTTCATTTTATGATCATGTTTAGGTTCTGGCAGAGAATTATATTTTTTTTTTTTTACTTTATCATCATCGAGTCTAGTTGTCATGAAGTGACATGATTGTTTCCTGCATCTGTTGCATCTGTTTGTTTTCTATAGAATGAATCCACCTTTAATTATGCCTCTCTTGTCACTTTCTGAATGCCTCTAGTGACCCGCGTCTGACCCATGATTGAAAAAGACTATTCCTCGGTTTTGAAATCTTCAAAGACAGAAAGCCGTACAAGCCCACAACATCGCCTTCTTCGAACACTAATGCACAGATGGCTTGTTTGACGATTTTTATTTTGACAGAATGTCAGTTCTTATTTTTTATTATTAAGAGGTTTAGGATTGAAAGTGGAAATCCAGAGTAGCCTATTTCTACATCAACTACAAAGGCTGCTTCTCTCAGCATAAGTGCAGACTTGATGCCTGACATTGTCATCATGTTGATGATGTTTATATCATCGAGAAGCTAATCTGTGATGTCGGAGTCGCTGCACAGATACAGAGGTTACAAAAGTGTGTCCCCATCTTGACAGTCCTTGGATTTTAACATGTTATGGTATTCGTACTAATCTTACTAACTGTGCTACACAGTCCGTAAACATGACACCACGCAGATCTGCTTCATCTTTGCAGTACTTGTATTCAGCCATAGTGTTGTGTCTGTCTGCAGGGTACCGGGGTCAGAAAGGAGAACGAGGCCAGCTTGGTCTGGGGTTACCGGGAGATCCAGGAGTCATGGGGCCACCAGGTAAGAACACCACACTGGACTTCGAGGCATCTTGGCTAGAGCACTTCATTTTATAAAATTTATGTGTTTTGGACGTGATCACATGGAGACTTGAGCCACTGGTTGAGCAGACAAAGTGCAAGAAAGGAAGGAGTGATTTTGTGCAATAAATCTACAGAACAGTCAGGAGCAGGCACCAGTGAAGACCGCTCCCAGAGGAAGTGCTTTGAGCTCTTTTCCTTTACATTCTAGACATTTTTCATCTTTACTGGTGCCTAAAAACATTAAATTAATCCTGCTGTAAATCTTAATATCAAGAATTTTGACAGAATTTAAAGTTAAAAAAACAACATCAAGTGAATAATACAAAGATATAGTTTTACTGCCACGTGGCCACATAATAACCATAAGCAACAGAAAACACAGTATTTGTGTCAAATTTGTCACAGAATGACCAGGAACTGCATTGACAACCCTGTTTCCGCCACATCTGCAAGTGTTTTTCTAACTGTTCACTAAAAGGAGGAAAGTGTAGTGTATGTCACTATGCTATCAGAGAGCTGGGGTTGTGTCACATCTCAAACCTGAAATTCTATTTCACCCTTCATTTGGTAATTCAGCATGCTGGAGATTAACACAGCTCCCAGATTGCACTATGTTTTCTAAAGCTCAGGGACCCCAAAAGAGGAGAAAATGCTGCAGTAACGGAGCGCTGACTGTAAAGTTGGTGTTGTCATGGACAAAAGTTTCACTGAACACAACTCAAGTTGTCAGCTTGTCCCCTGGTCCTGTGAACTAAAAAATAACTCCCTGTACCCCGATGGAGCGATGAGAAGTGGGATTACCTCACTGACTTCCAGTGTGTGACTGTAGGAGTTTATCATTGAACCTGAAGTCACTCAACCTACTGTATCTATCTATGTGCATAATGGATGTGTAGGGAAAAGGGGACCTGGCTGTGGCTCCTCTGGAGAGAACAAATCACGGCTGGTGGAAGACATCCTCTCTAGGGCCACATAGAGATAGGAAGCACCTTCGGCACATCGGGTGGGGTTAGACTTCAGCTGTAGTCGCATCTTGGGGAGAGTTGAGAAGTACTTGAACAAAATGAATGTGCTGTTCTACGTTTCCCCTTTGCATTTAGATCTGGACGATGAAATATTATTTCTACCAACCAAAAATTTCTGTCACTTGGCCATCATAATGAGCGACAGTCTGTACTTGAGGAGGGTTCATGAGGAATAGGATGTATGAGTCACATACAGAAGACAGGCAGACGGTAAAAATCCTCCTGACAGGCCACAACGTCTCTTTGTAACCGAATTTGATGGTAATTACTCCTGATGGTGCTGTTGCTAAGTCATGCCCACCTGTAGTGCATTAGTTATGTGCTGTTCTGTAGCTAATTAGCAGGGTTAAGCTAGCAGCTGTAAGCAGCCAGCTAAAGTTGTCGCCTGAATGCTAATTTAAATAATTGGAGGGTAAAAAGATTTTTGATTGTTCTGTGCACCTTTCAGTGTCCACAGCAGTTTGTGTGCGAGCAGTTAGAGGAGACGGATGTGGCGGTGAGGAAAAGGGAAAGTTGTGTTTTCATAGGGAGGGAAAGGAGCAGTGTCTGTGCTTCTTTTTGTACGAGCTGTAGAAGAGCTCCCTCCAGCTGTGACTGCTCTGACTGATGCAATGGACACTTCCTAGACTGGATTGCAGTGGAGGGTTTTTTTTTTTTTTTTTTTTTTTTTTTTTTTTTTTTTTTTTTTTTACAGGCTTACAAAGACACGTTGAAAAGAAAATGAAAGTGTTGCTTGTATTTGTGTTTGTACTGTACGGACACGATGTGAGAGACAAGGGACTGACGTTCAACTGCCTCTCCACCTCTACAAGCTGTTGCTAAGTAACATGAGATACTAATGTCTGCCATGATGACCTCGCCATATTAGAGAGTGAGGAAATGTATTTTCTCTGTCCGTTAGTGTCATTACAGTGAAATTAAAAAATGTATTAAGTGTAAATGAGATATCCAGCTTTTGAGGAAAAAAAGGAAACATGCTAGAAATGCTTGTTGGTGTTAAAGTGAAAAACATCATGGGTTGCGGTTGAAGTTAGGCTGTGTTAAGGGAAAATGATAATGTTAAGTCGAATTTAGTGCAGGCATTATAGCTAGAATTAATATCACAGTATATTATTATTAGATAGATAGATAGATGGATAGATAGATAGATAGATAGATAGATAGATAGATAGATAGATAGATAGATGAAAGTATAAATATCAATATAAAGTATCCTGTAACATTTTGGATTTAAACCAGCCATGTATGAGTATATACTTCCATACAGTGTGTCACACATCTTCACTAAGAGAGCCAGTGATGACTGTGCGTGTTTGTGTGAGGGAGCGTCTGCCTGCCTGTTTTATCACTAATGGAAAGCTCTACTGAACGATGATAAAGTGCATTTCAGCACAGGAATCAATAATGTCTAATTCTCTGTCAAGGCCCTCCTGGGATCACCTCTTCAGGCCCTCCTGGCTCTCCAGGGCCCCGTGGACCTCCTGGGACGTGTGACCCCAGTGACTGCCTCCTTCCATCCTTATGAACCCAGCAGAGTGGTTTTGGGCTAGTTGGAAGACAGACGTCCAGCTCCGAGCTCAGTGCAGCAGCCGCGGAGCAGGAAAACTGTATCTGACATCTTCCTCAGATCCGGTTTATCAGACAGACTCACAGCTGACCTCTTTTGTTCACTTTACAATAACATTTGGATGCAGTCGGGGTTTTTGTTCTTCTGGGATTGCTGTTGGGTTTGTTTTTGAATGAAATGGCAAACCTTTGAGTTTTATATTATTTTCATTACCGTGCTTTTAAGTTATTTCTTGTTTTCACATCCCCCTACTGTGATTTAATGCATTCCTTGTCAACTCTAATTATGTCATTCAAGACCATGAAATGACAAGTTCAGTCCTGTCTGAAAACATGATCTTAATTATTTGTTTGTCTCCTTAATGCGCATGCCTATGCACTCCTCTGTTCTTATTCAGATAAGCCAATGTGCTGGCAGAAGGTACATCTCTGTGTGTGTGTGTGTGTGTGTGTGTGAGAGAGAGAGAGAGAGAGAGAGAGAGAGAGAGAGAGAGAGAGAGAGAGAGAGAGAGAGAGAGAGAGAGAGAGAGAGAGAGAGAGAGAGAGAGAGAGAGAGAGAGAGAGAGAGAGAGAGAGAGAGAGAGAGAGAGAGAGAGAGAGAGAGAGAGAGAGAGAGAGATTAACTGAATGAATATTCTCGTTTTACATGTAGGTGGAAGAAAATTGCTGATTTTTGAAACACCTTATGCAACCAAAGGGCAGCAGATGTGTCTAATATGGAAATTATTTATTTTAAGCGTGTTCTTCTAAAGTCAGTAAGTAGTCAGTAATATTATTATTAGGAGGTGAATTAATACATTTTTGGATTACTGCAACTTTTTTTGACACATTTGCAGTGTGAATGATAATCATTTTTTAAAAGAATCTGCAGTATAATCATTGATAAAGATGTTTTCCCATTTTGTGTAGGTTATGCGTCAGCACTGAGCGCTCATCAGTGAAGTTTGCCATATATTTTTAACACAAAAATTTACAACTCATACTGTTTGTCTGACACTGTAAGGCACAGACATCAAGGACAGATTTTTCCACATGAGAAGAATTTACTTTAAACGTTGTCATATTTGTTTAAAGAGTGTGATGTGACCTCACATTCACTGTTACTGTTGGTCTGATCCGTAAATAAGTTGAATGAGTGACTGTGTTTTTTTTTTCCTTCTCTCTTTTCTTGTCTAATGGGGCTTATGATGGGACCTGACAATATAATTACAGTACATAAGCATAAGCTTAATGTGTCGTTGTAATGATACATTAAGGTTCTCACTTTTGTTCTCGCTCATACATCACTGCAGATGTTGATGAGTTTTTGTGTTTGAGATAATTATTAACGTATATTGTTTACATAGTGTCGTGTATGATGATTCCTCTGGTTTATTTGTATATTTTTGATTTTCAGCCACACAAAGGAAATCGGACTACTACACTACAACTTCAGACTTCTTATTCTGGTGAACCATTATACTCATAAACATACTTGAACTTTTTGTTGTTTGTTTTAACAGTATCATGGTGTACATCCTGGTTTTTCACTCACTGACCAGCACTGTGTGTCACTATGTACTGTCGGGTTTGGGGGTGTCTTAAGACTGGAGTTTATTTGATTTATTTATTTATTTGCTTTAACAGGTTTCAGGTTCATTTAAATGTAATTTCAGAAAGCTTTGAGTCAGCTTCACCTAAACAGGCCTTATGATATATCTTCTTCAGAAAGTCACATGTGACAGGCTGAATATCTTACTGAGGACAATCACACTGAAAATATGCAGAACTTCTTCAAGACAGAAAGACAAAAGTTCCCAGCATTCATATTCTGCATTTTAATTCATGCCCTTTTTGAAGATTTTCATGGAAATGCACAATTTGTTAATTTAAAATCTAACCTAAACTTTATCACACTAAACAACAAACTTTTATTTAGCAGAAAATATTAATGAGCCTGTAGCGTATATTATTCTGTTCATGCTTTCATTTTGAGCGCTGTTTAATGAAAGTTCGACTCAAAGGCTTTAAGTTCCCTTTTAAGTCTCCTGCTGTGATTAATGTTTGAAAAGTTCTGTGGGTGTATCTGAACTTTTGTGACGCTAAGAACTCAGTTCTATCTGAATTTCATCCTTTAAGATCTGTTTGACACTTTTTTTCTTTTCACTTCATGTCTCACATCATAGAAAGTCATCATGCTTCTCTTACACATGTAAATTATGATTCACATTTATTCTGATGCTGCAGAGGATTTTTTGTTTTATATTTTCTCAGCATGCCGACTTGGTTTTTATCTCTGTTAAATTTTATCAGCGTGAGTGGGTCTAATTTTAGATGAGTATTGAATCAAATGTGTGCCACTGACTTCATTTGTGAGTTGAAAGAGCCCCCTGCTGGATATGTATTTATTTTGTCATTGCTTGTAATGTGAATGGAAAACAATCTTTCTTTGGGTTATAGGCTTCATGAAATCCTTTCTTTCTATTGGCCTCTGTCCTTTCATCACCCTAATTTTCATATTCGGCTTAATGGGTTCCCCTTGGAGACAATAACGCCGACCTTGACCAAATTCAAATGAGACAGCATCAGCAAACTAATGGGATCTGAACTTTTTGGTGCACTGATGAGAGACCAGCTCTCTGCATATATTGAATTTAGCTGGAATTGATATTAATGTGCATTAGTTTGTGACTTCAATTTAGCTAAACAGAATGATAACTAGGTAGAACAAAAAAGAAAAAGGCTGCTGATGTCACAGCCCACTTCACTGGCAATTTGGTGCCAGCCATTTCACAGCTCTCCAAGTTAAAATCCATTTATTCTAAGTGGAAAATGTCAGATGAAAGCAAACTAAGGATGGAGGTGTTGCAGGTTGAAGCATCCTTCAAATGAAATGCTGTTTTACTTCTAAAGATACGCTTTGTCAGATAATGCAAAATTCACTTAAAACAATAACATCAGTTTTACACATCCACATCTTTCATTTTTGGCTGATTGTTTTTACAGTAACGTAACCTGATCCTGTTGCCACATATAATCTAATCTTGTAAATAAGCTTGTAATGAGGGGGAATGTGGATCAGCCTCTCAGCATGGTCCCTTGGATTAAAAAATGTCTGCCTGCTGCTCTCTCTGTTACTCATCTCTGCTCCTTTATATAAGCTCATATGGTGCCGAGTGATTTTAAGTGTGTTTTTTAAAGTCTTTGTTTCGTTGAATATCTACCTCAGTCTTGGTTTACCACATGTCTACATCATTAGCTACTTAACACTGTTGCCTTTCACCGAAAAAGCAATTGAAACCTCATATGTATGTGAACAGATGTGCTGCAGTCCTGGATGTTTAGTATCAGTGGGCTTACTGAACTGTTGATAAAGAGTCGGGGCAGTAATGATGATCCAGCGTGTATGTGGTTACCAGGTATCAGAGGTTATATTTTACACTTTTCATTGCAACATCTTTTATCTACACTGATTAATGGCACCTGCCTTACACGTGTGCAATAAATGTTATTCAGTGCTTTATTTCTTGTGTTCTCTTGTATTTCCTGCACTAACATTGCTTAGGTTACAGTTCTTTTATAATAAGAGGAAAAGAATATTTCGTTTGTGTTAACAGTAATAACTCTTATTAGAATTTCTGTTACCACTTAAAAAAAAAAAACCCACAACAATGTTTTGTTCTGTCAGACAGTTGAGATTTTATGGAATAACCTTAATTCATAAACATACACAAGATGTGTATAAAACCTGTTCTGAATGAAACACATGTTTGAGTTTCAAAATTCATTGTTCTTTCCATTTAGTAGCTGTTCTGGAGCTTTTGATCATATCACATTGTTGGTGAAAAAATGTAAACAAGAAGTCCTTATAGAGCTCAGAGGAGATGGAAATTTTGCACATGCACATTTCATGGCAAGTGGGCAAACCCCATCTGCCGTTGAAGATCATGTGATAGGACTGAAAGGTGAGGAACACCTACTAAATGAACTCGTGAGATTGTGATATTGTTGCTGTTTGTCGGCATCAATATTTTTGCTTTGTGAACAGTTCTTGAAAAACAACTGAGAACACTGATTTTGCATTTCCTGACATTTGTCACAAAATATACCATCACAGACTGACAGACCAGTATAAAGAATAAATTAAACACTGTGTGTGTTGTTTTCTTTATTTCTTACATGACTGTGGGTTTCCCTCAGTCCTAGAATATATTTCCATGTATGCACAGCTGCACTCTGTTGTCATTCTGTACAATGAGGCAAAATCTGACATCAGGTTGTTTTGTAGGAAATATAATTAACCACAATTCAAACATTTTTTTTTACAGATTTACAACATAAACTGAAGTCAGTGTGACTTGATGACATTTTCATCCTCTCTCCTTTTTATTTTGAACTGCTGGGCTGAGAAGATGGTCAGACATGCAGGCACTCAGCAGGCGGATTGCTGGTACATAAGCACATCCAGAACAAAATAACTGAAAAAAGGCCCTTAAACCAAACAAAAACCTGATCCTGGTCTGCTTTGGGTGACTGTCTGAAATGCTCTGTGAAAAAGTGGAGGAGCTTTTATGTGAGAAAACAGTGTGAATGGAGAACAGGAGAGGAAAAAGCAGACAGAGGTACAAGGAGAGTGGAATAAACAAACATTTATGGTCATTTCATTTCATGTCAGAAATGTGATCACACTGTCCTCAATATATCAAAACATCTCTCAGGTAGAAAAACACACCAGAAGGAGCTAGATTTTAACAGCACAAAAAAATGTTTTGTGTGTGTGTGTTTTTTTTTTTTTCTTTTACTGCTGGCTCCTTCTGATGAAGATGTGACTGGCACAAAAGATGCACACAAGACTAGAGGTTAATGGATCAAAGGGACCACACCAACCACAGCCCAGGGGAAGAAGGTGTGAAAAATGTGTGCTCAGGGAAGATAATCCACCAGTCTTTCTGTCTCTGCCAGAGTGGCTCTTAGTTCCCTGCAGGTCCCTTCACATCCAGAGACTGGTGGGCGGCCCCTGGTTGGAGGTTGCAGGCTGATGGGTCACAGTAACCATTAGGACCAGCTGAACCAGGGGGCCCAGGTACACCGGGCTGTCCAGGAACGCCAGGAGGTCCCCGCTGCCCGTCCCGACCGTCCTGACCGTAGCCAGGTTTGCCTGGCTCACCTGTTATCACAAAATTCATTTTAGGATGCCAGTTGCTCGATATCGGATTGTTTCATATTTTTCCAAGTCTATCTTAACACAACAGCCACAAGCTCTTATATGCAATGAAAGAGGTTCCGGTTGCTGTGATCATTCTTCCTGTCCACACTCCTTCTTAACTAAATATCAGCGTCAAACTCAAAGAGTTTCAGCTGAACATGGAACATGTTTTATATCAAACAAGGAGGGTGTGGATTTTGTCCCTTATCTCTTTCACTGAGGACACATTCAGACCAGAACTCATCACAGCAACAAAAAACAGTTTCAGTGTAGCCCTGGGATCGTTATTTTGTGTTTATGATAAGAAATGACTACCTACCCTTTAAGATAGAGGATCAGATTTAAAATGCAAAATGTACTCACCAGGAAGTCCAGGAGGTCCTGGCTGACCTTTAGGTCCTCGTGCAGTGGGCCCTCTGGAGCCTCTGTCTCCCATTTCACCTGTAATACGTGTTATGTAATGCAGATTTTAGTGTACATCAAACACTAACAAACATGCCATCATTTCATTACCCTAAGCAGCAACACCTGCTAATAAATGTATCACCTTTAGGTCCTTTCACTCCTAAACGTCCTGGTGGCCCTTTGAGTCCCGGAAGGCCTCTTGCTCCACCCTGCCCAGGGAAGCCATTGTCTCCTGGAGGCCCTGGTGGCCCTGGAGGTCCAGGTTTTCCAGGTAAACCAGCTACGCCAGACTCTGGCCTCCTTAAACTAGCTGCTAACTGGGCCAGCTGTTCTGTTGGAGCACAGCAGAAGGAAAATGATGAAACACATTGAATGTTGCCAAACAGTTGTAGCTGACTGTTACCAAGGGATTTTTTTTTAAAAACACAACACTTTGTAATAAATCATGCCGCAGCATATGAAAGCTCATTTCTGAAAGCCTGAAGCAACTTTCATGGAAGAGATGGTCCAGCAGCTCTTGTACATGAGTTCAGAGTGAAGCAGAGTGAGGTGAAACTCTGGTCACGATATCCCTCGAGCTTTGCCTGTTTTTCAACCTTTTTCCAAAGAACCTCAGTAAATTGAGCAGAAAGAAGATAATACTCTTTATTTCAAGCAATCAGCGACAGAAAATGTATGTTCATGGTGCAAAGGATCTAATATTAATCTCCTGTGGTTCCTTGCTGCATGGTACTTTGCACTTAAGATTCCAGTTTCCTGGCTTGCTGATGAAAATTCATGCAGTGGCTGTTCAACTGCTCTTTTTCAAGATTTCCTTTCCAGGCAGACTCTTTGCTTGGAGCAGGGGAGTGCAGGTCTGCTGGAGGTGAAATTAATTTTTTAGCACATCGGGGTATAAAAAAGGCATGAGTGCAGGAGATGAGTTGTGAAGACGTAGGAGCAGAAGAATGAGAGAACAGAGGTCGTGACTTCAGTGAAACATTTCTACAGCTCGGAGAGGGGAATTTTTCATCCATCAAGTAAACAAAGGCTGAAGCTTATTTCATGTTTTGGTTATGAGATCTTCCCTTTCTGAACTTCAGAGTATTCAGCAACCGCCCAGATCAATGAAACAGCAGAGGGGCGGATCTACGTGTGGTTGTGTAATGAGACTTTCTGGCACAGATTAAAGTCAAGAAATGAGGCACAAAGGGATGATAAATGGGGTCAAAGGCCTATCTTTCTTACCTTGCATGACTCGCATGCAAACTTGTTTGATGTGCTGATCACTCGGCTCTTTACCCTGAAAAGAAAAAGATGACTGAATAGATTTCATTACAGTGTCTGAAACATTTACGTCAAGGCTCTGTAGTGCTGTTATCAAGTGAACACAGCACTCCTCCTGCTTCCTCTGCTGCATTTGTTCGTATTACAACAACACAGGTATTAAATCTGAGCTGGGATTTTATCGATTCTTGATGAAGAGATGTTCATCCACTACAGGGATGCCGGCGTGCCTGTGAGCTTGGGGCAAGTGGGGATTCAATTCCTACACTGAAGCCTTCGGTGGGTGCAAAGATTTTAAATTGCCATCAAGACAACATTTTCTCATGTTTATGCTCATGTGTTTTGTTTAATTCCCTGCTGCTGAAAAATATTGGGCTTTCGAGTTTTCTAGTTTATTTGCACAAGTTAAAAATATAAGAAGGACAAAGATGAAAGTGTGTAGGGAGAAGCGTTCAACCCAGAGGGACTTAATAATGGCCTCTACCTAAGTTTTTCTTTTTTTAAATATGTTCTGTAGAATTTAAGAAGGAAAAACTTCCAAAAATGAGTCCCCTTGTATCCTCTTGACCGTAATTCTTAAGAGGTTTTAGGAAGATAAACACACAGACATATCTAGTGACGATCTGTGAATCTGTTTGAAAGTAAAACATGTGTGAAACAAGTGATACCTGTACAGCACACCCGGAGGTTTTGCTGTTACACTAATATACTCAATTCACTGCATTAAAAGTCAAGATTTTAATCTAAAAATACAAGAAGTTGTGCAAAAGTGTGAGGTTTCTTCTTCTCATTTTTATGACTTCAAACATGAACAAAGCCAATAACATGACTCCTTCCACCCCAACCAGACTGTCTGGCACCTGCAATACAGAAGGTAGACAAGACACTAACACCATATTAGAAATCCCAACTGAAGACTGAGATTCAATTTCACTTGTGATAAAAAAAATCACCACTATACTGTTTTTTGCTCACCCTCTGTAAGTCTTCATGCTAAATCAAAACGTTGAGGCCTGAGAGTTTTGGTTACAGACGCTTGGTTGCTTGGCTCGTGTCTTTCTCACTCTGTCATACTGCTGCACAGGTATTGTAGTCTTCCTCAGACACTTTCTCTAGACTCTCAGCTTTAAGTGTTTTCTCTCAGACCTACCGCAGGTCCCTGGGACCCTCTGACTCCAGGTGAACCCCTGTTCCCCTGCATGCCCCGGGGTCCGGGTGTGCCAGGCGGCCCCTCGATGCCGGGCTGGCCTCGACTTCCCTCAGGACCTCTTCTGCCAGGCTCGCCGGGGTTACCGACCTTGACGGGAATAAATAAGGCGCCAGGCCAGATAGAGTATCACAATACTGCAGCACTTCCTCAATGTTTTGACATCAGGGGGATAAACACAGGCACCAAGTTAAAATAATCTCTTTAAACTCACCTCTCCTTTAGCTCCAGCCTCTCCTGTTTCACCCTATGACAACATCGATAAAACACAGAGGATGGAAACAGGGACATTTGTACTCTGGTGATATTCTATTGTGAATTGAATTGTTGAGTAGTTAAAATAAACTAAATGAACAGCGCTGGTTTAACAACTTACAACATCCCCTTTGTCGCCAGGGTTTCCCTCATCACCTTGTTCTCCCTGTGAAAACACGGCGTGGAAGTGATTTACGTAAAGCAACATGCTTGTTATTTCAATGCAGCATCACTATAAAGCCAGAATTACTTGGTATCAGGATTCCATACCTGCTCTCCTTTGGGTCCTGCCTCTCCACGTTCTCCCTGTAATAAAAAACAATGTGGTAATTAACTTAACGAATTGTCCACACTAGAGGGAGCTAATCAGCTGTTTGTTGTTGAACATTAATCTCTCTCTTACTATTCAAGACAATAGTCCTGAACCTGAAAAGGTGTCTGTGTTGTTTTCTTACCCGCTCTCCTTTCACCCCAGGAAGACCAGGAGGACCAGGGAGACCAGGAAGGCCGGGGTCACCTTTGGGTCCCTGTAACAAACAACAATGCACATCTGATGAGTAGAAACATCTAAGCAGGAGTAATAAAAATATGTTAAGAACCACAACAGCCTTTTACAAGACAAAAAAAAATGTCTATTTCATAAGGAATTACACCTGCTAGTATTGCTGAAAGGAAAGAAATCAACAGTTATATTAAATAACTCCAGTTTAAAAGTAAGCATTTGTTGTGTACCAGGGCACATCCACACATTGTGCTCATGAAAGCTTAGCATTGCTGTGTTTGTGTGTGCCATTCCCTCTTTGATCACTGGCCGACTGTCTCAGGAATGCCAGGAGAACAGAAGGCTCATTCAGCCTGCTGCTTTCTGGTCTCCCCTTACTGTGAAAATAGACCCCATGTGAGATCCTGGCTCAGTCTATTCTCTGAGACATTCCAGGGAAACAACAGCCAGGACTACACACTCCGAGGCTTCAGCCCCTTCAGCTTCTTTCATTCAAAGTATCAAAAAATACAGGAGCTAAGTATGTGGCGCTTCTGCTTGTGTGTGTGTTCTCTAGGGGTTTTTCTATATATTACAGCTGATGATTGTTGGATGTACACTGGCTGCTAAGGTTTTTATAAAGCCTTTATTTTCAAAATAAAGGTATAAAAAAAAAAATAAAAAAAATTTAAAACAGAAATCAATCACTTAAAATCTAAATTTAAATAAATAATGCTCGTGTTTATAACTTACCCTGGCACCTGGCTTGCCAGCCGGACCTGCAGGGCCTAGCTCTCCTATACTTCCCTATAGGGAAGAGAAAATGATAAGAAAGAAAAGGGTTGAATTACAATTTGAAATATGAGCAAATTAAAGACAATAGATAAATTCATCTGAGAAGAATACTCACAGGCTCACCAATGGGTCCAACAGGTCCCAACTCTCCCTGTTCTCCACGCTCACCCTGTCAGTGAAATAACACAGTGGCATAACAGTGGTGACAAAGATCAGGGCAGCCTTTCAACATCTTGTATGCTGCTCATACTTACCGTTTTACCGGCAGGTCCCATTGTCCCAGGGAGGCCTGGCTGACCAGCATCTCCCTGCACAGACAAAACCAAAGTGTCAGATATTGACAATTTGAGAAAAAAAAAAATATTGAATTCAAGAAACAACATCAAATGTTTAATAAATGATCAAACAAACAACCTTAGGGCCACTCAAGCCTTTTTGTCCAGGTGAACCAGGTAAACCCTAAAAACACACAACAGGTATTGAAGAGATACAACAGCAACAAGGAGAATACGTTCTTACAACAAAGGATAAATATTTCCAACAGCAAAAGTTATTCTTGAAAAAGAATTCACCTCCCTGTAAGAAACAGTGGAGCATGAAGAAGTGGGAAAAATAAAAATCTGCACCGAAATAAGCTTAAGAAAAAAGTGTTGATATTTAAATCAGGTGATGACTTTTGCCCCGAAATTCTTATTGATTAATTCTTATTGCTGCCACAATCAGGGTGTTCATGTTTGCCAACTGATTCTCATTAGTACTTTTCATTAGACTAATCATGGATTAGAGGGCTGGAAAAACATAACCGTGGGGTGGGATTCAAATTGTATTTGCTTGAAATGTCCACATACAGAAAACAGGCTTCAATGTGTAATATAAAGCACGAGAAAATCATTCCTCTGACTGCTGCTTGTTGTTGCAGTACAGATGTGGAAATGCGTATTGTGCTGCTGCATGCATGGGCTATCGAGCTTTAAACAACTCCTGGGGAGATTACTCAGGTGCATCCAGTCGGAGTCAGTCTTGACAGTTTGGGGTTAAAGGTCATACTCACAGGAAGCCCCTGAAGTCCAATCTCTCCAGGAACGCCTGGTTTCCCAATGCCTCCCTGCAGGGAAACAGACAGTGAAAAACTGAAGCTGATGTTGCTCCTAACAGCAAAATAGCCAAGCCTTGTTTTTTTTTGTTTTTTTTTATATGTAAGACAATTTACAATAAAAAAAATTCTTAGTTTTATAAAAGAATCGCTACGATTAATGATCTACCTTTGCTCCTGGCATCCCAGGAATCCCCTCACGACCATCCACACCCGGTAAACCCTGGTGATAAAAAGGACAAAAATAAAATGAGGTGTTTGCACAAAATATAACTGCAAAATATTTTTATTTGTCCTCATCGATCAGACACTCACAGCCTCTCCCTTGGGACCTGGCAGGCCTGTGATTCCTCTTGCCCCTAGAATACCCTGAACAACAGAGCAACAATATGGTTAGTCCATTTATAATAGCTGTAGAAAACACTTATTTTTGACATTTAAAACTGTTTATGTCTATGATGAGGGGGTGTGTCTACTAACCGTTTCACCTCTAGGCCCCAGCTCGCCCATCACACCTCTCTGGCCTTGATCTCCCTGAAACGATGCAGTGAATCGTACATGACTCATACAGAACACATTTGCTTTAAAAATAAAAGCATTCATACTGTGGGACAAACTTACAGCTGCTCCTGCGACACCCTGGGGACCGGGACCTCCATCAAGACCTCGAGCTCCCTGCCAGGGAATAATGTCAGTATCGGTATTATAATCTGTTTAAAGGATTTTACAGTAATAGACGACAGTAGTCATAATTCAGGAGGAATCTGAAGTATATGAAGGGTACCATGGGCTTAAAAATCATAAACACACTTACCATCTCTCCCTTGGGGCCCATCATTCCCATGGCTCCACGAAGTCCCTGAGGGCCCTGAAATAACAACAGACCCAACAGGTGCCTCAATGAGCAGAAAAATAAGAACCCAACACGGTAAAGAACAAAGCGCAAAATGAAAGGGTCTAAAATATCATCTAATAAATACAGTATCTAACCATTGGCCCTTGGGATCCGACCTCTCCCGGACTTCCCTGGTCTCCCTCCTCACCCTGAGTGAAGAAAAACAGCATAAAGTCAAACAGATTAAACACTGCACAGCAATTTTAACTATATTAGAAGAGTGAAGCTACATCCTAACACATGATGCAACTGGCATCCCATCGATGCCTCTCTTTTTTCTTTCCAAAAACTAACTAACCAACAGGCTGCTCCTATCAACTGTGTGTTGAATAGAGAATGAGGCAGCCAGTCTGAGATGTGTTTAATACCCACTTCTTAATGGATTGCAGGGGGGAAGGGGGGGCAAAAGCAGACGATTTAACTCCAAATTACCGTTCTCCTGCTTTGCAAATTACAAATAATTTATATGCTGACTGTGTGGTAGACCTGAGGAGGCACATCCATTAAGATAAATAACAGCCGGGGTCTGAGGCTGTGCACATTTTCTAATGTTAATAAGCCAATTTCTTCTTTTAATTATGTGTATGAGAACTGACTATTAGACAATACATAGCTGATAATCAAATGTCACACAACAAACAGGTCAAACGGGTCAGCAGTTGTTTACATCATAGAACAAGAGAGAAATGAAAACTTGATTCTGCTTGATTGCCTGATACTAAAAACTTCAGAATTCATCTTCTTCTCATGGAGAAAATGTTTTTAGTCTCTAAAAAGACAAAGACGAAAGTCTGAGCCAGACAGACTGTTGAATGACTCAAAGAAATGTCTTGAATCTCTGATGGTTTGATTAAAAAAAAAAAATTCTACCTTCATTTGTTCATTTATTAATGGCAACATTGTTTGACGTCATATGTAATTACTAGCACACATCATTGTTTCTGTTCATTTCAAATACAAAGTGAGGTACTGCATGTTTTTGTATATAATTGAGCCACATAGTGTGCCAATATGTAATCTTTCAAATACATACTTATTTTATATTTCAATTCTTCTTTTTCAATATCCTAAAATAATAGACTTTCAACCCCAGCATAACATCTGGTTACTCCATTGTTAACTGTAAACCTCTTTATATTTGTGAATTTGTGAATGGAAAAAAGACAAAAAGCAGCTCAAATGAAACTTTCAGCGAAGGAGAAAATCATTCTCTGGGACCGAGCGCAGACTGACAGTAAATCATATCCTGGCACAGGGTGATAAAGGGAGATAGGCCCAGACTCATTTCCATTTATATAGTGCATGGACACATTACGGGGAGAGGGTAGTTGTGCTTGAACATCATTTCAAATAAATCATCCTCCGTGCATTACAAGGAGTCAGAGGCATTACACACAGGCATGTATCACTCCCTCTTGAAATAGAGCAGCACAAATAATACTTGTCTCAAAGGTGCTGGGAATCACTTCTGTACATTTAAGTGGCTGATAATTTTTACCTGATGTGGAACGTTGTGGCGTGTGTGACAGTTGAGGTGTTTTTAAGCAACTATTTGTGCAGCTTTATGTCAGTATAAATTCACTTTGTTGATGTATAGAACGTAACATTTCATATGACTAGAAATAGTTGACAAATAAGGATTTTTCCCTCAACAGAACATATTTTACCTTGTGTCCTTGTTTACCAGGTTCTCCTGCTTCACCTTTTACACCTTTGTGGCCCTGGAAACATATAGAGAATAAAGGGAGCAACAATTAAACACATTGCTGTATATTCAGGGACACTACCATGATTTTAGTGTGACACAAAACACTTCAACTCTGCTACTCACCTTCATGCCAGGGAGACCAGGATGTCCAGAGGTCCCAGGTGGACAAGCGTTTGGACACTAAACAACAACATAAAAGTTAGAAAATAAAAGTTAGAAAGTACTCCTGACTGACATTTTATGCAAGAAAATCTCCAGAAAACAAAACTTTACCAGTTCGGTGCTGCCAAGCATCCCTGCTGCACCCTGAAATTGAGAGGAAATACAAGTTAGCACTTTCATAATGCAAGCTATCAACATCAAGAAGGCTCTAAGGAGCTTCTAAATCACTAGAGGAAGGCTGGCAGTATGCACTGGTGGCATCACCAACAAGGCCAAATTAATTTCATGCTCGAACCATGTTCCTTCCCTTGTGAAATATTAAAGTCAAATTGAATCATTGGCAAATCCTGTGAGATGTCAAACGAAGCCGTGTCACTTACTCTGGCCCCTGCTGGTCCACGAGGTCCCTGTGGTCCTCTCACACCAATGGCCCCCTGTGGGAAGAGACATAAAATGTCAGAACACAAGGAAACTGAATGCACTGTGTTCAACTACCAATAATTCAGTTCATCAGGCCATTCATTTACTACTATCTTACAATGTGATTTTCCCTGTAAAACATCCATTACTATCTCTGGGCCACATAAAATGGTTTCATGTAGCGTTTTACACCATCAGAATTTTAATGCTTAACATATCAAATATTGGTTCACCTGTTCAATTTGCAAATATTCATTCAGGGCAATTTACTCTAGCAGAGCAGACCATATTTCTTCATTTCTAGTTATAGGTAATGAATTTAAATGTTCTGAGACACACTGACATTTAATAGTACACATGGTGAAATGTGCCAAACCCAGATTGTTACTACATCTGTATATTCGTAATAACTGGTATGAAATCCAGTGTAAGCTGATACAGACAACTATAGCCAAAGGGCAATATTATAATAAAAATAAGTCAAATAAAAGTGTTACCTAGAATGTAGAGATAAAGTCTGAGATATGAAATATACCAATAAAAATGAGGCTTGAGGCAGTTAAAATGCTGAATATTTTATATTGAGTGTTGATTTTCTCACCTGAAATCAATTTTTAAGTTTTCTTAGAATATATGAAAAGGCCTTAAAATGCTGAATCCACCCTGACAAGAAAATGTTTAAACATCATGTTGGTAAAATACAGGACCTTCTGACTGATTATATAAGCAGTGTATTGTGCATGGGTGTGTTCTTATGTGTGTTTGTGCACAAATGTTGTCAGTTCACTGACACTACAGTGGGCAGTACAGGCAGTGCTGTACAGATACATTATGTTTATACAAATCAAACTATGACATTGTAAAGATGGAAGGTATTCTGAATCATCCGCAGACGGGTTGCAGAGATACTAATGTTGTCCCCAGTGAATGTGGCCTCACCTACATGCAGTCATTTTAACTTGTTATCATGGCATGAAGGTAAACACATCTGTTCTGTCATTGGCCAGCGGCACCATACCACCACCTCAGTGCTCAAGCAGACCGTATTTGATGCTAACAGTCTAATGCTCAATCTCTACTCACAAGTGTTCCAACTTTTCCCATTTCACCCGGAAGTCCTCCAGGCCCGGGTGGTCCCTGTACAAAGTCACATTTCAGGTATTCAACATTAACACAACTTCGATAAACACTACCACAATTTATATGAAGTGCAGGATTGATTGCATAGTATAAACAAATGACTTACGGGGGGTCCATCTGGCCCAACACCCTAAGGAGAGACATATACAGTATGACTCAGTGTGATATATATATATAAATATATAATTTGATGTATACAAGATAAGAAAGATTTTCCAGACATTCATGGTTGATGTAATGGTAAAGGGAAATGCTACTCACAGCTGTCCCACGAGGTCCAGCTCTTCCAGGTTCACCCTATACAGGATGAAGATAAAAACATTAGATTCACAGACAGACTTTGAGACAAACACTGAAATACTGTGTTCAGGTGAAATTGAGTTGTGTGAGTTTGCAGACGGTCCGTGTTAACATTCCTCTAGCTCATCACATGACTGAGCTGGGCCCATTTGACCCAGCAATGTTTAGCCTAATGAGGACCAATGTTGGGGCTTCATTCCCCACGGAGATTACACAGAAGACTTGCAGGATTAAGTCTCATTTGTCATGAGGAATTGGTTTATGCACTGCGGCTCTCGCTGCCATGCCAAAAGACTGGACAGCAGCTTGGCACCATTTCACTGACAGACTCTAAAGCAGGAAAGAAAAGGCTCATTAGTCACTCACTTTCTGTCCGAGTGGACCGTCAGGCCCTGGATCTCCAATAGGGCCAGTCAAACCCTGCAGAGAGGAGATATCAGGCTTAACTAATACATCATAACAAAGCTTAGAGCACTTCAATCACTGTATTTATTCACCTTACATTTGAAAAACCATGCAAGTTAAATGAACCTACTCTCTCAGTGGCCAATGCTTTTTTCCCCTCTGTCAAAATTTCTGAATTCAGCTTCAGATCTCCATAACATTACATCATAACACAGTCTTACTCCAGTGGGAGGAGTCCTACGTATCCATAAATGGGATTAACTTGACTACAACCACCCCCTCTAAATTGTTGCAATATATATTGCACTGCTGCTACATGTTTCTCATTGAAATTAAAGAGTCCACAAGAATGTGATCAACTTCACAGACATGCAGAGAGAGTCAGCACCAGGGCAGAGGGCAAAGCTCTCAGAGTGCAAACCAAGCAGACGGCAGCATTCCTCTGGCTCATTTCAAACAAGCCCATTGAAAGAAATCATTCCACACTGTTTTGAGGATTCTCAATAGGAGATACAAACAGCGGCCAGCCAACAAAGCTGCCATTGTTTGCAGAATCCTGGGACATGCATCCAGGTAACACAGCCAATGAATCATAACGCATAAAACAAATATATTTTATGATAGTTTATAACACCACGTTCTGAATGAGACTTGAAATAAACCGATACTTTATCTACCTAAACCTTTATGGTGAACTAAATTCCCCTACAGCTCCTCTTTGTCAGCCCATCATCAGCACCAGTATTATGTTAGGATGTTTTCCTAACCCTCTTTTAAACTCTGAAAGGAGCCAAAGTTAATTGCACTCAGGTCCTGGTTTACCCTGTCACAAAGGAAATTTGGATTTGTTCATCCTGTTTTTAATAAATTCCTCACATTTTTGCACACATTTCCCCAAGACCCCCCCTCTAAATCTGAAATTTCATTGGTCACTCAAGACTAATAAGTGTGAACATAACCTATAAGGTGGGAGGATCACACTTAGTAGTTCCACCCCCTGGCAGGCTAGAGGTTTCATTGTGGCCAGAAAGGAAGCAAACACCAAATACATGAAATATAAAACATAAGAGCACTCACATCATTCCCAGGAATTCCAGGTAATCCTGAAGAGCCAGGTTTGCCTGCATCTCCATCAGGTCCCTAAAAACAAAGGGTTCCACATACACATACAGTTCAAGGGAAAGCATGACAATGAAAAGCAATACAGCATTTCAATTTTGTACTGAATGTTATAATTACAGGAGGACCATCTTCGCCATCTGCTCCCCTCTCCCCCTGCAACAGAAGAGATTAAAAAGTTTCAGGAGAGAAGATAATGAACTATGGACAATGTATCTGCCGCATTATATGGACAATGTTACAGAATTGAGAGCACTTACAGCAATGCCATCAATTCCCGGTACACCTGCAGGTCCAGGAGGGCCAGAAGGTCCGTCACTCCTCTGAGTAAAATAATAATAATACAATGATAAAATATCGGCTTAAATTTCTGAAGACTACCCTACCAATTTTTTGTGATTCCTAACATTGACATACTGCTACACAGACGATATGAAGAAATGAGAGCAGGTGCACCATCTTATTGTATGTTGCTAGAAGACAAGCCTGTCTCTTGGATACACTGAAATAGCTCACAGTCTATAGAGATGATTTCTGCTTGCAGAAATATGTCAGCAATAGATGGCACTTTGTTAAAATAAAGGTTTAAAAGGAAAACTCCAGACAAAAAGTGGCCTGTCTTACTTTTTCCCAGACAGTCCAATAAATGTAATAAATAAAACAACTCCAGCATCTCACCACCACTATAAATGGATTTTGTTACTTAGGAGGAGCACCAGGGGAACACTCACCTGCACCTCTGTCACATCAGTCTATAGAGACAAATAGAGAGAGCACAAGCAGAGAGAGAGAAACATAAGTCTTACTTGAGCGGAGCAAATAAGGACAAGCTGCAGGAGCAGCACCAGAAGTGGCCCTCTAACGCTGGGGCCCCGAGCCATGATCTCCCCGTGGGCAGGAAAGGTAAAAGTTTTAGTCCTTTCACTGGGAATTGTTGGGCTGAAGGAGCCCCCGACAAAACAACCCGACTGAATCCCCTCCAGCTATCTAGACCGTCCGCGGCCCCATAGCCATCAGGGGCTCATGTTTATTCATACAATGCCTGCTTACAGGAAGCGATTGGAGGGTTTGCAGAGAGGGACACCGCGGGGAGGGGCCACACCCCAGACACCACCAATAGGCAGGATCAGCGGGTTATTTAACTTCTGATAAGACCAAATAGTTTTATTTTAACTATATTGCTGGTGTGACAAATTTAAGTGTACACTCTAATAAAAACAAAATCAGTGGTGATGATGATTTCATGGGGACAAGTGGAGCAAAAGTTTGGATGCTGCTTGATTTTATTACCCTGTCCATTAAAGGCACCGTTGGCTCCTCTAACTAAACCAATATTTTATCTTTGTAACTGATGACCTCAGACCTCAAATTGCAGACTCACGTAGTTCATCGGGTTTTCATTCTTACCGATGTCCTGGCTGGGAGGTCATAACAAGCTTCAGTCCTGGCGCGCGTCACATCGCAGTGAATCAGCATTGACTCGAGTTCAAACTTGATGAATAAACAAAGGGACATAATACATTAGCACAATATCACCACAGCAGACCTAACAGACACAGCCTAACAGTGTCATCCAGTGTTAAAGCTCCACAGACTGTGTCCCGAGAGCAGCTTCCGTTAACAAATCAAGCCCCATTGTGCATTTTACAGCATATGAGAAAAGCATAAAGCAAAATATATTCGTTACAGTGTGGGACTCATTACCAAACATTACTACGGGCTGTAGGAGTTATAACGTGATCGAAGCGGTGCACGACAAAGGCGCACATGCAGAATGTTTGGAAACCATGCACCTGAGCTGCATGGTGTGGCAGCCCTCTGCAGGATGTTCAAGCCTGTGCACAGCTCTATTCTTCACCACAACCTGCAACAAATTCCACATATTTGTCGCTAAAGCCTGAATGGAGAGACAGCTGGCTTGTACTGTACTGGAACTAGTAGCTACTGGAGACAAACCAGACAGGATGGTGAGAAAACACAGGCATTCCCAAGTTTTGAATGCCAAGGACTCCTGAAGGAAAGTGAATAATCAGTGTAGAATTACACCCTTAGAATCCAATTCATAGAATTTCCTCTCAGTTTCAACTCACTCCTACTAATGGAAAATTACCCTTTAAAGTTGTATATAAGGGGTATATAGGCTACTTTAATGCAAAAGGACACAGATTGTTTGTCTTCACCTCATAATAACTACTACATAAGTTAGGCTATTATATAGGTCACAAAATATTCACACTGCTAAAAGCTCTAACAATTCGTCATATTTTAAGAGCTCATTCTACATTTTCCATGTAGCCTCAACCTGAAATGAACTGAATGTACATGAATCACTTTGGATCACAAATTGAGTCAAAAAAGTTTCTATTGGAAATGTAATGAAATAAGATAAAAATATTACAAAATTCACAAAATGGAAATAGTGTTCCTGCTTTGTTGCTTGGGTGAACTTTAGTAGCTACTGTGGTAAAAAAAAAAAAGAAAAGAAAAAAAAGAAAAAAAATAAAGAAAGAAAGAAATAAAAGAAAGAAAAGAAAGAAAAGAAAAAAACTTGCACATCTTAGATATTGCTTTAGTTGCAAATTCTCAGTGAGATAACAGACGCACCGGGATCGCCATCACTGGGTTGTCCTTGAGTTTTCCTATCAACGTGAACCCATCCAGACTGACTTTTTGCCGGGGTGGTATGCTTTGAGACCCGATCATGACACAGTCGACCAAAAGGGTAACGGAGCGCCCGCGGACGTCCAGCAGGACTCTGTGCCACTGATCATTGAAAAAAGAAGCCAGGGGGCTGAAAACAACAGTCTGCCTGCCACTGCCCAGCGCCGTGAAGGTAAACTCCAGAGACTTAGACTCCCCGTTGAGTCTGACGGCCAGCTGCTCGTTGCCATTCATATCCTGCATTTGCCAGATATTCCAGTTTTTATTTATGGTGGTGGCACTCATGCGTAGCACAGCCACAAATACAAATTCTTCCGGTAGTCCCAGGGGATAAGCTGATCTGAAACATAGAGGATGGACCATTATGAAACCCCCAAATTACATTTACCATTAAAAATCAGTATTCCACTAAGGATTTATAATGTGTACTGAACATTGACTGTGTCATCTGCTATTGTCAGAAGAAATACTTATTCTGTTCATGATGGTCAAATCATATATTTCATCATATAAAATGTGATATTTGTGTTGTATCATTTTAAGTTTCATTACAAGAAAAAGAAGGAATGTGATGGTGCATACAGTATATAACCAATCTTTGATATTCAGGACCATGGACAGGGTAAACGGGGTTATACCAGCTCAACCACTAGGTGTCAGTCTTCACTCACACAACCCTGCGGCTTACCTTGTGTTGATTCTGAAGTTGAATGCTGGGCCTATTTGATAAGCAACATGCTGAGGAGATGATCCAATAACCTTTTTCACAGTGCCCCTTCTTGCCAGCTCAGCAATGTGGAACTGAGACATAATATAAAATCCTAAGGGCACAGGGACAGAGGAGTGGTTATATATAAAATCATCTCAGAGGTCTGGCAATAGTCCCTCAGGATCTTCATTTGATCATTTTCCGTGATGAAGGACCAATACTTGCTGTTAAAGTATTCCTAAAACATCTCTATAGAGAGAAAGTGTCTCCCCATGCACTATATAGTACAGATCCATACATTCGAGCATTTGTATTATATTTTTAAGTTGATATGTTAGCTTAAGACTGGCATTGTGTAGCTTTTTTTGACATGGGCAGGGTAAATGTCAAATAAATAAACAAATAAAAAGTAAAAAGTAAAAACAATGCCAAGTTTTTGCGTATCCACCTGGGAAACGATCCTCCCCGACACTTATCTGAGGGCACATGGACTGCTGCTCCACATGAATACCAACTTGAGATGAAAATCGCACAGCTGCAACATGGAAACAGAAAACAGCCCGTTAGTAGTCGAAGAGAGTGTGCATTGTGTGTGTGTGTGTGTGTGTGTGTGTGTGTGTGTGTGTGTGTGTGTACATGTGTGTATGTGTGTGTGTTGCAGCGAGTGAATAAAAGCCCAGTGTTTGGAAAGCTGCACCACTGCCTTGAATAAATATTAGTCTATCTCACTGTTTGTGGTTTCCTCTTTAACACTTAAGCTCTAGATTTGCCTGTTCTTGTACATCTGGACAGGAAGTTAAAGGTCTTTATCAAGTTTGAATAAATTCTTAATTTCTCCATTTGCTATATCAGGGGCCTGCATTGTATTCAACATCTCACATTGTTAAAATAATTGCCATTGTATTTATCAATGCATTTTGCTCAAGTATTACCATTGAGTGCACATTTATATACAGCTGGACGGACTCCCTAACCCGGCAATGTAAGTGCTGTTGCACAGACCAAAGGAAATGTCATGATATATGGATAAGAGCAGTCTTGTGTGCAGACAGAAGACAAAATAATGTAAATGCCTCATGGAAATGAAGCAGTGTAGTCATATCTGTCTATTGATGAATGTCAATTAGCAGATTTTGTCAGCTGTAAAAGAGAAACTGCTAACAAAGCTCCACAGAGCTCCTTGTATATGCATGAGTAAAAGAACTGCACAGTTATTCAGTATGTCAGGAACAAGCCAAAACACAGAGGCACTGTAGAAAGTACAAATTAACCAGTATAATTAACCTATGTATGTATGTTATTGGTTGACATTTGCTGATAATTGGCATGCAATTACTCACCTTTGCAACAATGAACTGCACTTCTAATTTTGTAATTTCAATAATGAAGTGTTTTTTATTAAATTAAATGTTCATATTACTTTGTCTTCTCGTATGATTGTTATCTCGCTGCAGAAGACTACTTACTCTGTGAATGAAGTCCAGTGCACAGATATTCTGGGATCACATAGCAGCAGCACAATGAGTACAGAAGGATATTTCTGGAATACAATCAGAAATGGAACATCTTAATATGCGCTATGATTGAGTAAATGTAATAATTTGCACAATACTGTTAAATGACACATCACATTATGTATACAGTCACTATTAAGTGAGTTATTTACCTTTTGACTCCACCCATTTCATTGCTTGATCCGGAAATGAAAAAGCACCTGCTGCTGGATGTTTCTTCAGAATGGGTTCCAGATGAGACCCTGTATATCTGCTCCCTCAGCAGGAGTGAAAAACTCCAGGTCACAGTGAGGGGTCTCTTATAGGCTTGACTGTTGCTTGACATTTATTTGGGGGAGTGAGTCAACACTCTTCAGTGTCAACTCTGCATTCCACTGGAGTTCTCCTGCACCCACCTTGGATTTAATCTTAATCATTCTTCAAGCACGCAGTCACTGTCATGATTTGTAGTTCTATTTTCATGATTGTGTATTATAAGTGATAACATTTACATTAGCTGTGAAACCGATAATGTTACCCTGTTGTGGCTTTATTTGCCCAGCACTCCTGGGCTCTACATTTTCTGTGATCTCTATGGTTGCATGGTATTCGGACAGCATTGTTTCCAGTGCAGTGAAACTGAAAATCAAGAGACGCTGACTAAGGTGCAATTCAGGCTGTGTTTGCTCTTACAGGCCAAGAAGCATAAAAAAGGAGGCTATGCCTGAAATACACATATTTTCCATTGTAGTGATAACATCCAGAATCCATAGAAGCATTGTGTTTATTACCAGGAAACCCAGCTTGCATGATGTCTTCACAGGGAATTTGTTTGCACAGGGAACTGGGTTTAAGAACAAACCCCATTTCCTCCTCATACCCTGCCATTTATTACTTATTTCAAGCAATAAGTTGATTGGCCTCTGCTAGCACCAATAAGTTAAATTGGACTTATTACAGCCAGAACTCACTGCACATACTGCAGAGGACAGCACTAAATCCCTCTTTATTGGCAGGTTAAGCCTATTCACAGTAGGTCTGCAAACTCAGGCAAAAGGGAGGAAAAAAAAGCACATCATAGAGAAAAATATATCAGAC